GGTTTACAAATCTCAGATAATCGATCTAAAGGAAATGCGAGGGGCTGCTAAATCATCAGCATCCCCTACGTTACATTTTGGCCTTGGTCACGATATTCGAACAGCTGAAGGCAATGAACAGCATACCTGTTGTCATTTTTTGGATAAGGATGGCCTGCCGTTTATCGGGACCAAATTGGATTCTGGAGATCCTATAGCCGCTTACATCGATGAGACCACTGGGCGCACGAGGTTTGTCAAGTATAAGGGCGATGAGCAAGGAATCGTGCATGAAGTGCGCATGTTAGGTGTGGTCGTGCCTTGGTCCATCCAAGTAGCTGCTGACGGAATTTAGGTGGTGATGCTGGGGACACGGAGTTACAAAAATTGCACATCACTTTCCGCATAACTCGTTCCCCCGTCATTGGAGATAAATTTTCATCTCGCCATGGTCAAAAGGGTGTATGCTCACAAAAATGGCCTGCTGTTGACATGCCCTTTTCGGAGAGTGGAATGCAACCTGATGTTATCATCAATCCCCATGCGTTCCCAAGTCGTATGACCATCGGCATGTTAGTGGAGAGCATGGCTGGCAAGGCTGGCGCTATGCATGGACTGGCACAAGATGCAACTCCTTTTCAGTAAATCATCACTGCTCCTGTCGACGACGCCAGCTGACGGCATCCAGGTTCTCTGAAGAAGACAGAGCTATTGACTACTTTGGCGAACAGCTGCTAGCAGCTGGCTATAATTACTACGGTAACGAGCCCATGTACTCAGGCATCACTGGGCAAGAGTTTGCCGCAGATATCTACATCGGCGTTGTTTACTACCAACGTCTGCGGCACATGGTTTTAGACAAATTCCAGGTCCGAACCACAGGTCCAGTTGATCCCGTAACACGTCAGCCAGTCAAGGTAGGGAAGTCGTTATATATGCTCCTGCTTGTTTGCTAATCACCTGAATAGGGTCGCAAACGTGCTGGCGGCATCCGATTTGGGGAGATGGAACGAGACGCTCTGATTGCTCATGGGACGTCGTTCCTTCTTCAGGACCGGTTGATGAATTGTTCAGATTACTCCACTACGTGGGTCTGTCGGACGTGTGGCAGTCTCATATCCCTTGGTTACGATGATATAAGCTTGGGCGAGTCGTCTAATGGCACGATTAAGGCAACTGGTCCAGGTGGAGAGTACTGCAGAGTGTGCCGCGCGGTTGCCGAGGAAGATGACGAACGAGCTCGCCAAGCTCTGACCACAGGACAAAATCCAGATCGAAGTCCGTTGCCAGGCGTGAAGGTTGCTATATCGTCATCGAACGTGCTGCGCAGTTCAAAAGGTGGTGATCTTGATGTTGTGGCAGTCCCCTATGTGTTCCGCTATCTTTGTGCCGAGCTGGCCGCCATGGGCATTGCCGTTTCATTGGAAGTACGATGAAAACAGTTGTTGCTCACCCAGTGATCAGATCAATGTTTTCGTGGCTCAAAAACCATACATAGACCATCGTTAATGACATTAGGCTACGGATACCAAGTGAACAAAAGGCAGACTGTCAGCTTGCTGACACTAATAAGAGAGCGAGAGTCAACAGAAATGAGTAGTTGTTAGATCTACCGGAAGATCAAGTGAGGAGAGCTGGGTATCATTAGGCTGTATCCATAGTAACTTCGAATCGTAAAACGGGTATGAGGCTTGCGTGGATCATGGTTCAGACTGGACTGGCGGGTCTGAAGACTCCTCGTCACCACCCAGCAATAGCTCGACAATAGCGTGTTCCATATGGGATTCTTTTGCAGCAGATTCGGGGGTTAGCGGGGTGGAGACTAGACCTTGAAGCTCTGACGAATCAGCCACCAAACCAGCCCGAGCCAAGAAGATATCTATGAGCAGACGACATTCGGTTGCGCTTGTTGCATGTGAGAGGGTTCGTCGCATGTCATGAGCATGATCGATGACAGAAGGCGGGATGGAAGGTGAAGATGTAGCGGGGGACAATTGTGCTGGACGTTTGGCCAGGTGTGAGATGGCAACTCTGGAAGGGGAACGTTCTGGCGCTTGCACTGTAGGCGCCTTTGACTCTGAGCTCGAACGAGCAGGGGCTTCCACAGATGCTACGGCTGATGAACTACCATCAGAACCACGTTTGCTGACGGCATCATGCTCAAATACACGTTTGGAAGTGGTTAGGACTACACTGGTGGGCATGGGAGGTACAGGGGAACTAACATCCACCACAACCATGACGGGAGCCGATGTAGGAACAAGAGAGTCCGGTGAGGTTGTTTTGGGATCGAGTGCAGGCACCGGTTTGCGTGAAAATGACTGTTTCCGAACCCGATGATCTGAGAGTGCATTATCAACAGAGCTACGGGACTCTGATGATGTAGCAGAAGGCAAGTCGGTGGGATATCGAGGTGGAACGGGTCTGTTTGCGAGGGAGCTGAGATTCGTCAGGGATTTGTTGGGTAGGAGAGGGGTAAAAGCGTCTGCCCTCCGGGGAGAGCTTTTGCCAGATTCATTATCGGAACGAACCTTCTCGTTGCCGTTGAGGGTGATCTTAGAGATCATGCGCTGCAGGCGACCAGTCTTTTTTGGCGTCAAAAGAAATCCCGAGTTGATATTGGTTGGGGAAGTTGTGGGAGGTTCTGGTGGGCCCTCAGCAAGAAAGTCAATCAGCTCTCTAGCGCTTGCCGATATGCCTCTCTGCGGATTGTAGCATGGCGTACTCTTTAGCTTCTCTGCCTCATCCTCGTTTTCCGAACCACCCATAATATCATCAAGATCGAGTGACTCTCGGTTTCTCGCGACGGTGCGAGTACGAGGAGGTCGTGACTGGTTGACGTCCAATCCATGAGGGACGGGCCTTGTTCGCTTCTGCTGTACCTTGCTTGGTGCTAAGTTCGGTTGCTTCAGAGACGAACCGAGGCTCGATTGCGGCGGCCCTGGTGGTGGAAATGTGGTAGGCTTTAGCATTGTAGGATCAGCGGAAGAGGCAGAGCGAGCGCGAGTGGAAGAGGGTGGACTAAATCCAGGGGTAGTAGCGGCACTAAGCTGCCGAGGGCGTGACGTTGGAGGGGGTTTCGCTATGGGTTGTATTTCGTCGTCCTCGTGAATAGAGTCAACGTGCCGCAACGATGGTCTCGTTGTCCGCTTGGGCTGGTCAGGCGCAGTGGGTACTAGTAGTGCTTCGGAAGAGATGGAGTCCTTGTGGGATGATTGGAGGGAGGTTTTCCTACCGTTGAAGCGTGCCTTCTCTTTGTTAAGAGCCTAACAAACAATCATTACCAATCCGTAAATTTTCGTGATAAGGGACCTTATATACCTCCATCGTCCGTAGCCTATCCGGGGTGAGCGAGACCTTCATGGTTGACCCTGATCGCATCATGTCATCGAATTCTTGTGATCGATCCTCCTAGAACGCATTATGTGTCAGAGCATTCATAATGGAGAAGCAATGGAAAGTCGCACGGAGAATGTCGGCGAAATGGGAGACCTGTCCCCACTATGGAAGGATTGTTTCGCATTCGCGCTCACTAGTGAATCTGTCTTCCTATGACCAATTACAGAGTCAGTTCCATTTGGATGGTCATTGGATCCTCTATTGCTGTTGCCACTAAATATTTTAATCGCCCGTGCCTTGTCGATAGATGATCTCGCGGAGGGATGATTAGAGCCCACAACGGCAGGTCCAATATTGGACGACTCTGATGACATGCGATGGCGTGAGCTGTCTTTTCGGAATGCATCTCCCTCGCGAGAGGACGCCGGGGACGTCGCACCCGATAACTTTTCCCGGGTAAAAGATTTACTCCGTCTCGGTTTCGGTAATTTTGACAATGTCTCAATTTGAGCGTAGACTAGAAGCGACGAAACACGTCATCAATGGGCCGAACAGTATTCAGATAATAATAAACTGACCTTTCATGTTCTTGAAAAAACCATATATCGTACTGTCTTCGCAAAGTGCGATGAATAAATCTTGAGAGTGAGCTGTTGCTCGGCTGCTATCTCGTGACGCGACACGTCCTACATTTGACAGAATGTGCCTGTCATATGGATGAGCTCAGGACCAGGAACATCACTTCCGAGAGAACTTAAGACTTACTCGCATATAGACCTAACGAGAGAGGTTATCAGGTCCAGAACTCTGGATAACAGCAGAGGATACTTACTCAATGATGGCGGTGAGGTAGAGTGAGGCTGGTGAAAGGACCTCTTGCTTCGGAGGAGGGACGCCATCTGCAAGCATACGTTCCTTGAGACGATTCTCTGCATCTGAATTTTCGTCTGTGTCGCTTAGAGTCGAATATGCTTCGCATTTAAGTCTTAAAAGCTGTACACAAGAGCGTTGAGGCTCGAGTGAATACAACACAATGCCATGAAACACACCTCGGATGCCCACTGCAAATTGAAAACACCATCCTCGCTCGACGAGCTTGAACCTACAGCGGTAACGGTACGCTGATAGTACGCTCTAAGTTCCATCTCAGCCTCAAGTATGGCTTCTTTGCCCAGGGTGGTCGGTAGAACTTTGTGCATTGCGGTCCTCAGTCGTGAAGTGTTGAACGACCGAGCTGCATTAAGTATGCTATAGAGTAACTCATCGAGTAGGGCATTGATGGAGTTGAGAGCGTCGGGAGTTAATTTAGTAGGACGAATGTCGGAGAGGATAACATCTGCAGAACGAGACGAAATAAAAGTTGGAACTGTTTGGAGCTAGTCAACGACCATATATTTGACGAACAGTGGTGTCAAGCTCACCTTGAGTAGCAGTGGGCTCGATCATAATGTACAGGCGGGAGAGTGAAAGGAGAATAACGCGGCCAAAGTGGTAACGCCTAATAGAAACTCGGTTTCAGATTTCGATCATCAATACGGAAGTTTGGCCAAAGTAAGCTTATGGTCAACTTCCACAAAATTATTTTCAACTTTTTATCCTAATTACATATGACAGCAACTGTCTAATACGTGGAGGCCCTCCTCAAGGACCATGCATTGTATAGTAACAACCAACCACATCAATCAATCTGATAACATCATCATCACAGCCTCTTCTTCCCTCACAGCACCCTCCGTAGTGCAGTGACTACCATCCATTCCGTCCGTCGTGATCGAGACCTCGCCCATCAGTAAATTGCTAGATCCTTCCACGGATGCGCCTCCCTCTGGCACCTCGATCACCATGTCTTTTGTCAGATTAGAGCCCTCTTCGGGATTCGATTCTTCTTGACAGCTATTTGAATCTGTACCCCAGAGCGTGAGTCCATCAAGTAGTGCAAGTGACACATCCTCAGAATCAAGATCATCGTATCGAATTGTTCGCGTTGGCGGTGTCGACAGTGATGTCAGGAAGTCATATTCATCCGGTCTTGCCCTCAAGTTATCCAGGTTCTCCGGACGAGCGTCGGAGCGCGGGTACCGGAGTCGCATAGGTGCATTCTGCTTTCTCAGGTTTTGTTCGACAGGGCTAAATATATTTTGAAGAACCTTGATCATAATGTCAATTATAGCACAGACATACCTAACGTCTCTTGTAAGACTTACCCAGGGACCAATCACAGCGTGGCGTTGAGGTGGGATACGAGCTTGTTGGATGTATCTCGGTTCCACACGATAAGACGGTAGACTGTTAGGCGGAGCATCTAGCATGGGAGGTATTTTTGGCGCTAGAGGTTTCGGGGGCTGTTTCATCTCCAACTTCTTGATTGATTCCCGTTGCTGGTGCCGCACTTCATGTTCCATCGCCTCAACTGGTTTATCGAAAAAATCTGAACAATCTGAAGCACGTCAATCGAATACAGTAAGCGAGACTATCGAGCCACACGTACTTGCAATAGGACATGGCAGAGGGAAGTACGAATGTTTCTGTAAATGTTTCTCCAAAGTTGCTGCCGACTTGAACCTCCGAGGACATGACTGCCATCGGCATGTAAAAGACTCCTTGAGATGGTGGTGAGTTATCTGATTTTGCCTTCAAGAATTCACCTACCTGAGAGCTAGCCTCTTGCCCGTGCAACTTGAGATGCAAATAGAGGTTCTCGCCACTGTTCATCAGAGCATCACATCCATTCCACTGGCAGGGTCTCTCAACCATTCGGACTCTGCAGTCCGCCATGAGGGCTCGCTCGAAATCATTGTATTTGGCTGCAACGAACATAAGCCAGAAAAATTACCCGAACTGGAACAAACTCGTACACTCTTTCTCTTCCTCTGAGCCAGAGACTATGCCTTGATCCTCCAACTTTCGTTTCTTGATAGCCCTCCTAAGCTCAGGAGAAGGAGGAGGTATTAATACATATACCCGTTGACCTTTCTTCCTCTTCACGCTTCGTAGTGATGTCTGTGGATGATCCTCATCCAACACATCTACACGGCTCTTAGAAAGCGAACCATCGCGTAAGATGGATTCTACTATTAAAACCTCATCGTCCGTCTCCGGCGGAAGTGGGGCACCAGAGTGGTTCGAGAGTGCAGGTGATGCCGACAGCGACGGCAGGAAAAGTGGAACGGCCCCACTCCTATGGTCCTCACTCTGTTCGCGTGATTGCGCCCTAAAGCTGGGGACAGGAGATGAGATGCCCGCAGGTTCAGGCACAGGTTGTAGAAGCTCGTCCAGATCTGGGAATGATATGGGACTGTCGATGGGTCCATCTTCTCGACTAGGCTCGGAACGGCGTACATCAGTGACTATCGATATTCCATCAACTTCACGCGCTAACTCCTCCTGATCCATAGACGTGGGTGCTGGACATAGTGTAGCAACAGGCAGTGGGAAATCAGGGGAAGCGGTGTTCTTTTCGGGGGTAGTGCTACTTGGTTCATCCATGACGATGTCATCAACAATGACTTCCCTGATAGGACTGTGCGGTGTTTGTGTTTGAGGCTGCTGTTCTTGTTCCATCAAAACATTCGAGGGAGGTTGTAAGACGCTAGTCTCCTGTAGGGCTTCGTGAAGGGGCTCAGCTGATAAGTCATCAGATGGTGGCGTCTCCTGTTGATGCTCTGCGGTTCCCGTTAGATTTCCCGGTGATACGCCAGCTTCCTCTTCCGCCGTCAAAGATGGCGGGGTTATTCCAAGTGACCGCAGTACATCCTTTGCGAGCCGCGACCTATCGGCCTGTTGCGGTGTGCGCGCCACCGGAGCAGCCCCACTCTGTTCCTGTCGAGGTGGAGTAGCAGGCGGAATCAATACAGTAGCTGGAGCTTGGGGGTATAGACCCGCGTTCGATCCTGATGGCACTGCATGCTCATTTGGAATATCCGTCCGCACGTATTTCTTTGAATATGGATCATATGCATATAGGGCGATTTTACCATCGGCACTTGGTATACTCATTGGAGGGGGTACATTGAACATGTTATAAGCACCGCCCGCCGCTTGTCCAGATATACTAGTCCCGGTCAGAGGTGTAGCTTGTTGCATTGAGGGCGCTGTCTGTGTTGTCGATACGGATACCTGTGCTTGAGGTGCGGGGGTTGTCTTAGTAGCCAATGGAGCGACGGTGGTTGCAGTAGTGTGATTTGAAGTCGACGCCCTTGAGGGTAGTGCACTCGTGTACTTAGCCTGCGTGTTTTTGGTAACCGACGGCCTGGGGGGTACGGGAATAGACTTTGACGACTCGGACGTAGTATGGGCAGTGGCAGGCGGAACAACGTTGCTGGCGGTGGTGGTTCGACTTTGCTGCGCGACGGTCGGCACATGGTCGGAGGAGGCATCCGGCGTCGCAGCACTGGTCGCAGACACTTTTTTGCTAGCTGCTAAAGCCCTTGCACGAGTCAATGCACCACCAAGCTCCTTTTTAAACTCTGGAGCTAGACTGTCGAAGAGTGCCTTCCGCCACTCCTCCGGCACCGAATGCAGATGTCGCGTGAGGAAGTTGACAGTCACGTCCATGTCCGCTCGCTGAGGATGATAAAATATTCAGACTGGTAGGTCAGCGGGGTATAAAGGGACACACCTGATATCGTTCATGAAAATATCGCACGAAAGCTTCCTTAGTACCGAGACCTGCTAGTGCTTGTTGAGCGGAAGGAGGATTCGCAGGCAGGGGCAAAGGCTGAACTGTGGTTACAGGCATTGCCGAGATCGCTGTAGGAATATGGACGTTGGTAATGGCAGAGGCGGAAGAATCGGCTCGAGGAAGGGGGGACCACTTAATATTTCTCATGTCATTAAGCATCTTGGCCACTCCTTTATCTTTGAAATTTTCTGGATTAACGCTGCGCGCAGCTTCGGCCCACCATTCCACGGCCACAGGACTCGAGCTCAGAAAGTCTTGAATATTTTGGGTGTTCTGCTGTCAGAAAGTATTTTTAGAGAAAGGTACAGAATTCACCAACGTCACAACTTACATTGCAAACCAACTGGAACTGCCGAATGAACTCTTGTTTCGTGATAACGGACTGAGGAAGGTTGCCCGAGGATTTGGTAGATGGTGGCTCGGCGGAGGACAAAGATGGACGCCCAGTCAATGGGACAACAGTCGCAACGGCAGGTGCAGCTGGGGATGCCACTTGATGGTGAACTTGAGGGGCATACTGGGGTATCCTTGCTCCAGCAAACGTGCTTGTTTGAGGTTTGACGCCTGCTGAAGCTTGCGCACTTCCACCAGCCAAGTCTACTGCATGCTTTTGGCTCTGTTTTGCCCAGTATTCCTCACCTGTGGTAGAACCTGGACGCATTGAGCACAACCATGCTAAATTAGCGGACAAAATTCTACGTACTATATCTAGATTGCTGCTGTTGATAAGGTGTAGAGGAGGCTTGCTGTGGATGTTGATAGCCGTGGACAGCGAATGCTGGCCCAACAGGATACGGTGCATGCAAGCTTTGGGACCTTGCCGTTGCCTGTGACTGTGTTTGCGCAAAGAATGACCTCTGCAACGGTGGCTGGGTTGAAGCTTGAGAAGTATGCGCCTGAAATCCTGCTTGCTGTGACTGATTAGTGGTTGAGTAGTTATGTTGGTAGTTATATGGCATTTGCGGGGGTGGCCTAGATGACTGTATGGTGGAGTGAGACTAGAGAAAACATAAAAAATATGAGCAGTACATTCGACGGCGAGTCGCGTATTTCTCCTTCGATTCTGGCTGTCAAGGGTGCTTCTTCAGCAGACCGATAGACTGCGTTAGGATAATGGGCAGAGCCACTTGCTGATGGAAGCCCTGCTGCGACGCTGGAGTGATCACATATTAATCACTACAGAATGTTGTGAAATCCCTTTGCTCACGGCACTTCCGCTGGCATGGACGCTTTCATCTCTGCCAGTCTCTTCCTTTTGGCGCATTAGTCACAACGCTGTTCAACAACTAAGCACTCACTCAGCCTCCCGACCTTGTCTTATAACCTCCTCAAGGTCATTTTGTAGTTCCATTTCAATGAGCCTCCGCTTAGCTTCTTCGATCTTGGCCTTGCGCAACGCGTACTCTTGACTATTGAAGGGGTTGACAAACGGGGCCATCGCACGATAGTCATTTGAGTTAGTTTGACCACCATTGTTCATCGTCGCAATATCCAAATATCGAGCAAGTCAAATGAGAAATTGAATAACGAAAGCCCCAATTCTGTAAAAGCTAACTTAACAAGACGATGAAAGAATTGAAGTAGGAGTCAACGCGTAACGTCTAGTGACGGTTACATGTCACGCGTAGACGCGACCTAGCGCACTTCGGATGCTTCCGAGGCCAAGTGATTGATGTCCCTCCTCCAAGTGGTCGCTCGTCATGCAGCACGTCCTTGGACGCGTGCATTTGCCTCCGAATCACTCTCGTCATTTCCGCCAGCAACTGGAGTATATCACGTATTTGACCGGGCCACTAAGAGGAAGCAGAGAGATCGGGCAGTGAGCAGAGATGCAGGTGTAGGGAGCAGAACTGTGGACTACATCCGGGATGAAGTTGCAGACCGAATGATGGAGAGACTCCTTGTCAGTTCAATTGTTTTATTTTTTCTATCTTAGCTAAATTATTTATGTGTAGGATATTAAACGCAAGTTTGATACCATTGTGGACCTTGGTTCAGGGCCTGGTCACTTTTCCAAGCTCCTCGAGCCTGAAAAAACGCGCAAAGTACTCATGATAGATTCTAGCGGTTTGCTCTTTACTTCTGACTATTAACTTTTTAGCTAAATGTCGTACAGAGAGCACGCTCAACCGAGATCGGGACGAAGAATTCGAAGGCATGTTAGGTCATTTCACTGAGTTGATGCCCTGACAATAGCGATCTGCAGTTGAAGTAGAACGTTTACATGCAGATGAAGAGAATCTCCTTGATGTTCTTCCTCGCAACTCTCAAGAGGCCATTGTATCTTGCCTCAGCCTCCACTGGGTGAACGACCTACCAGGCGTGCTTGTACAAATAAAGGAAGCCCTGAAACCTGATGGGCTCTTTTTAGGCGCCATGTTTGGCGGTGATACCTTATTTGAACTCCGGTAAGATATTCGGGCGGTTTTCTGTGCCGTTTAAAGACATTATTTCTGCAGGACTGCCCTTCAGCTTGCGGAAGTAGACCGCGAGGGCGGCATCTCGCCACATATTTCGCCCATGACAAGTAACTCATACTCTGGCATTGTTACTGTTTCATCTGCTAATCTTCTTTTTGTATAGATACTAAAGATATCTCGAACCTTCTCTCTCGTGCGGGATTCACTCTACTCACTGTAGATATCGATGAAGTACATGTTGGATACCCGAGCATGTGGGAGCTTCTCGAAGATCTGCGCGACATGGGTGAGAGCAACGCTGTTGTCGGACGGTGAGCTAATTTGATGCATATATCCTTGTTTCCTATTGTAACTTTGTAGGCGACACTTCTTGCATAGGGATACGTTGGCTGCTGCCTCAGCCATCTATAAGGGTCTGTTACGGCACAGTGGATAAATTCTAAAATTAAATTCTTTCAACTAGAACTGCACGGAAATGAAGATGGCTCCGTTCCAGCGACATTCCAGATTATCTACATGGTATGTATCCAAATACTCTTTCCATAATTTTTTCTCATGTTCTATTTAAGATTGGCTGGAAGCCGTCGCCAAATCAACCCAAGCCCCTCGAACGTGGATCAGCCCAGACTAACCTCAAAGACGTGCTCTAGTTTCTCGTGCTATCGTTGTAGACTAGAATCTCGTTCTAGCTTCGAACTGTTGCTAACGTGTTTCATATATTTGGCATTAGAACTCGACTATCAACTATCGAATTTGACTTTCACTTCCTAATAATTACTGAAATCTTACAATCCCAACTGTGACGTGGTATGCAACATATGAAGAACAAGAAAACCAATGGTAGCACCATCTCGGTCCAATAACCCCTATCTCATCCACTATGATTGTCAGGGATTACTCTTTTTAAAAACTCCTTCAGGTCAGCACGTTCCTTAGAACATGCTGCATGTTGCACACCATCATATCCCAAAAAACTCACACCAGCGCTCCCGAAGGCCACGCGTTCTGCCTCTCCTTTGTCACCCCACCTCAGCGCTAGACCGACCTGGTCTTTCAAAATCTCCGCCGACTTTCGCCCGAAGCTATATCTCACAATTGGGTCGTCTGTTCCATGACCCCAGAAAACCGGCATTGTTAGCGCGTGCGGGGAGATAAGCGACTTGAAACGGTCTCGTAATGGCAGCCACCCACTCATTACCACGACTCCTGCGAGTTTCCAGCCCTCACGTCCCTCGCGTACTGCGCGCCCTCCGAGACCAGAAAGGAGTACCATTGCACCACCTTGCGAAAAACCACTTAGGACAATACGCTCTTGTGGGATGCCAGCGTCGACCTCGGCCTTGACAAGCGCGTCCAGCTTGTGTACCGAGTCCCACATGCCCGGTGCATCCTCCGTCTCGGTGAAGGAAAAAGATGATATATCGAACCAGGCACGGAGCCATTCTCTATTATATACTGTTACGGGTCGCTGAGGTGCATGGGGGAGAACCCACTTGACGTGTGGGAGGGCAGACGCGAGCTCGCTTGCTAGGGGATTCCATCCCTTACCATCATCACCGATGCCCTAGGTCATGTGGTCAGCACGAACGACAAAACAGGCGAGTGACAGAAGAAGTAAGGTACTAGGCGCCTAACACCGTTGAAGGTCAAGCGGGGTGAGATAGTGGACCTACATGTACACAAATTACAGTTGCGGTATGTGTTTTGGTAGGGTGCACCACTATGTAGGGCAAAGTGACCATCGACATCGTTGGGTGTGTCTCCCTCGTGTACTGAGAAGGTGAGAGATTTCAAGTGAGCTACGTCTCAAGAATTTTAGTAGTAAAGGAAAAGTAAAAGTACAACTCTCCAAATAGCTACTTTGATCATTATATTTGACCGTCCCCTACACCAATCCCTTGCTCAGCACGATCAATCTCTTATCTACATTAATCTCGTAAGTGCCGGCGGTCCCCGGCCGCGGTGGCAATTCAACCTTAACTAATGCCACCGACATTACGCATCCTTAGCCTGGGGCCGAAGCTCGGACAATGATCATCATGGACTCGGAGCAGCCAGTAATTGCTCAAGCCGAAGAAAATTCTATTACCTCACAACCCCTCTCAAAAAAAGCCCAAAAGAGAGCCGCAAAAGCAGCTCGTTTACAAGAGCAAAAGGCCGAACGTCGTGCACGCGAGAAGGAGGCGAAAAAACGCAAGCGACGTGAGCGTGTGGCGGAGGCAGGTAATGTGGAGCCACGGAAGCGTCGTAAGATGGGCGGATTTGATCAGACTTCATTTGCTGCGCAAGTGGTAATAGACCTGGGTTTCGATGATATGATGACGGACAAGGTGCGTACGAATACAGTCGGCATTACTGTGCTGACACGAGCATACCTGCAGGAAGTGATCTCTTTGACTTCCCAACTTGCATATGCATACAGCGCGAATCGACGATCATCTACCCCGTTTACATCACTATTATTTACATCCCTCAATGGGCGGACAAAGGCGCGGCTAGATGCCATAAACGATGCTGGATACAAGCGATGGACGAATACCAAGTGGTCGGAGGAAGGTTTCGATCGAATATGGACATCCAAATCCGATTCTTGCGACGGAGATGAAGACTTGGATGCCCACCGCGCGAGTGTGGTTTACCTGACTGCCGACTCCGAGGAAGAGCTAACGGAGCTCAAGGAGGGTGAAATATACGTTATCGGGGGTATTTGCGATCACAACCGATACAAGGTATGTACTTCGAAAACATCATACATTGTTCGGTGTTCCTTCGCCAAAAGAAAAAAAAAACAACAGAAAATGGAGCCATTATCATTCTTCAGCGACCCCATGTTCGCCTTCTCCGATCTGCCCCCCCAGATCCCCCGTAATTCCTCCGCCCTGATCTAACAAAATCTATTAGAATCTCTGCCTTGACAAAGCCAAAACGTCATTTATCCGACATGCACGCCTTCCTATAGGTCGATATATAGCATCGTTAACGACGAGAAAAGTGCTCACGGTCAACCAGGTGACATCTATTGCTTACGTCGTTTGTCTTTCTAATAGCGAAGGCTGTCCGGTTTACCTATAGGTATTCGAAATCTTACTGAAGTGGGTTGAAACACGGGACTGGGAGCAGGCGTTCTGGAGCGTTATTCCAAAGAGGAAGTTTCAAAAGCAAACGACCAATCCGGATGCATCTCCCGAGGGAGAGCATGTGGGAGAAAATGAAGGTCAGGAAGTCCAGGAGGATGCCGACGAAGCTGAGCAAGCGGCTTCGAACGAGGATGGGGAAGAAGATGACCAGGATGACGGGGATTCTAGCTCTCAACCCCAACCAGTGCTATCTATGGCATGTTAATAATGTCTCTACCCGCACTCCTATCGGGCGCGTAGTGCAAGTGACACGATTCAGCACAGTTGCCGCGGAGCCAACATACTGGGATACAATTTCCATCACGAACCGCTTGCTTCTAGCTCAAGTGCTTGGTTGATTTTTTTTTCCGTGCCATCCTTCCGAATCATGTAAGTGACTATCGTGTGATTGAAATTTTCCATGCATATTATGCACGATAAATTCACGTTTGCGTTCATGTATCCTGCCAACCATAATATATGCTATGTGCTTCAGGTAAGTTCTTGTGTGGTCGGCCTGGCTATGAACAGGGTTGACGTCTGTCTTTCTCCAGGCTGTAGCTAGGGGAGAACTATAGATAGAACATGGTTTGAACCTGCAATTATTATTCGAAGCAAACCCCTGAAGGGTATTGTTCAGCTTCGCTTACTAGGCGCTGTCGCCAGCATTGATGTTCACGTTGATTGAATGACCCATGATTACATTACCGTTATAACCCCACGAGCGTGTATTTCACCGTGACGGTGCCAACACCTGGTATCATATGAAAGGAAGTTCACGGAACGGCTGCCTTTTTTCTATTTGTTTTTCTCCGAGAGACTAGGATCACCATCTGCTGCTGTTACTACATGATTCATTGGTGCACGGGAAACATGTCGGCTAAAGGGACGAAGCCGAAAATTGCAGCCGCTATATTCGCCCGGACCAATGATGCTATTAGCCATACCTAGTTCACGTGGATTGCAAACTTTCATATCGATCGCAGCACGCACTTTCTCTACATATCCACATAGACATACCAAATATCAGATGCCGTCAGCCATCATCCAGCCGACCGCAGCGCACACCGCAACCGTCATCTTTGCTCATGTGCGTCGATCATGCCAACACCCGATCGTACTAGAGACAATATGCTGATTTAGCCTCGCCTTCTAGGGTCTCGGCGACCAGGGAGAAAGTTGGCGTGCAGCGATAAGCGGTGATTACGACTACAGAAAACCCGGTGAACTGGCAATCCCCGCCCGTCTTCCTCATGTCAAATGGATCTTCCCAGATGCGCCCGAACAAGCGGTCACAGCGAACTTCGGCGCCAAGATGCCCTCATGGTTTGATATATTGAATCTACCGCTTCAACCGGGACAGTACTTGAACAAAGTATTTGAGGATGATGAGAGCGTGAAGAAAGGTGTCCAGATCATAGACGACTTGGTTCAAGCAGAAGTCAAGGCTGGAATACCGGAAAGTCGCATCGTAGTGGGCGGATTCAGTCAAGGAGGAGCGCTGGCTTTGGTGACAGGGTTGGGTGGTAAAGACTGGAGAACGAAGAGTTTCGGGGATGAAAGCAAGCTGGCTGGTGTGGTCGTGCTAAGCGGTTGGTTGCCACTCAGAGAGCAGTTCAAGTCGGTCAGTAGTAATACGCCACTATAAATTCTTCTCCTATGTGATATGATACTAATCGTTTCTACAGCGCGTTTCACCGCACGCCAAATCTATTCCGGTATTATGGGGACATGGGACAGCAGATGCGGTGATATATCATAAAGTGGGGGAGGCTTCAGTTGAATTACTTCAAGATCAGCTTGGTATCGTGAAGCACAGTGCCCATGACCAACTTGGCGGTCCTGGGATCAACTTTCGGTCCTATGAGCGTATGGGCCACGCTTCATGCAAGAAAGAGATGGATGATCTGGCGACATTTTTGGGAAGTGTCATACCACAGCAGGTACGGTGAAGTGAAACTCCTCGATTAAATCTTATATTAACAGTAGAGTGATGATGTAGCAAACCCAGAACCTGTAAAGCAAAATGATGGCATAGATCTAAAGTTTCATTCCTGTGCTCGGTAGTAACGGCTCGTCCGTGTCAGCCTGCATTCGTTGTGCATTGCTTTCCCTTTGATATTTCCGAATTGCTACTTGACATGAATATTGTGCCCGATATTCACGAGATATTCGTGTGCGAATCGCCCCTATGTCTAATATTTCCCGCGTTTATGATGCAGATATCCTGACCCGCGAGAATGAGTGAGAATTTGGCCGCAGAGTGGAGTTTAAGTTCCTTACACGTGGCCCTCTCAATGGTGTTCTTTGACCCTCTAGAATTGTTTTGTCTCGTCAGATGTCTTTACCACTAACTTCTGCGACCATAACCCCAAAGGCGAAACACACCGCCACGGTCATATTTGCTCATGTACGTATTGTGGCGATCGCGAGAGGGACATATCCATCTTTGACTTGCATAGGGACTAGGAGATAGTGGCCTGGAGTTCTCAAACAACCAGGAGATGCGCACGATTGCATCTAAGCTTCCACACATCAAGTGGGTGTTCCCTAATGCGCCTGAGCGCTCCATCACCGCATGGAAAGGAGACACGAGGAGGCGAAGTTCAACTAGGGGCTGGCTTGACGTCTTATGCGAGCCTTTGACATATTCATCGGAACACGATGACATTCAGGAGTACGATGAGGGAATTATGCAAAGTGTCAAGCATTTAGATGCCTTTATCCAGTCTGAGATCGATTCAGGAATTTCAGAAGGACGTATCGTGCTTGGGGGATTTGGTCAAGGGGGCGCTATATCCCTGATCGCAGGTTTGGGTGGCAGTCAGTGGAGGGGTGCATCCGACACGAAAGATGGTTGGAAGTTGGGGGGAATCATAAGTCTGGGTGGTTGGCTTCCCATGCGAGACAAATACAAAAAGGTGGGAGGAAACTTTCAGATAGCGAGAAGCTGTGTCTAAGCTGTGTTATTAGCGGTTGTCCATGCACGCATCTATGATACCCGTGTTTTGGGGTCATGGAGTGCAGAATGAATCTGTGACCTGGGATCTGAGCTGGGAGTCAGCTGAGTTCATACGAGACAGACTCGAAGTCAGATATGGACAGTATACGAAGATGGGAGAGCCAGGCGTGAGCTTCATGTCGTACGGCGTAGCGCAATGGATGGCTGAATCTGAGATGGAGGACCTGAGGTTGTTCTTGAAGAAGGTTCTTCCTTAGGGGCGCGTCAATCAATCTGATACGTCACGGTGTACTGAGACTTTTTTTTCGCACCGTGTTAGAGTGAAAATAAAATTTTTATCGACTTGAGTACGGTCACTCCACTTTGCTTAAGTCTGTGGTCTCGGAAATGGAATATCTGACTGACTTCTTGATAACTCCAGAAAGCACGTCGATGAAATTATCGATGCTATTGAAGTCACCTTGATTATTCTTCACCCATTCTGCCAACAAAGGTTCGTACTACTTCGAATCCGCTGGTCACGGGCAGAATGGGCCCATGATGATGGACAGTTTGCAAAGAAGGTTTGCTGACTCTCAAAAATCTTTTTATGCGAGCTTAGCAGTCGAGACATCCACCCACGATAAAGACGCACCAAATTTTTATTCCGTAGTCGCGGCAAAAGGGGTTACCTGGGTTAGCACAAGAAGCACCTTGCAAAGCTGTGCTGATTTTTCCATGGATGTTGATTTTCACCGATTCACCGACTGGTCACCCTTGCCGGCAGACCGAGCCGATGTGCTCACCAACGGGTATGCCGATTGGGGATGGCAATAAGGTAGTCTAGCCGGATAGTGCATAACGAGATTTGACTAGTACGCTACTCACGTAATTCAGGTACATGAATTGCATGGTTGGTACCTCAAGTTGGAGGTCGTGATCTGCTTCTTTCCAGTTACCGCCCCAGCGGAGAGTGGGAGTACGACTCGTGATAAACTTGCAATGCACCTGATCATCATGTACAAGGCCGCCCAGACCAGCCGGTCTACTGATTTCTCCTCTCAGATCTTTGGCCCTCAGCTACTAAGGACAATACACTCACAGCAACCTAATTTCTTCCGCTACCTTCGCAAACTTGTTCCTTCCTCTCCTCGCACGAATACAGCTCCTATCCGAAATACTGACGTACGTTCTTCTCTTATTTCACTCGTACTTGACTTGACGGTCGGTCTCCTTGCAATTCGCTCTCTTACCGCAGGCGACTACTCGCGGACGTTCGCACATAGATCCACGCGAGAACGTGAACGCGATCGGCCGCTTATTTTCGATGATCGTCTTGCCCGGAGTATTTCCAGTTCATTTTCTCGCTTGGCACTGGGTCTAGGGCTCACATGCTGACGATGACTTGACTCGGATTCGTTATGAAGATTGCGTTCCTCATTCATCCAGGGCAGCCTATGGCCAGAGAAGATGGAAGGTTTGTGTTATTATTTGTAGATCACCTTCGAAGACATTCCGCGGGTATTGCTCGTCTCATATGTCATGTTCATACTCTTCGATTATTAATGTAAAAAACACCCCACATGCATACTGTTACAATATCTCTAGCGTCTTGACCACGTCCATGATACAAGAAAGGTCTTTGACTCGTGCAATAATATCATGATCTGACGCGATTCTTTTGTATTCTGCGCCGCGCTGATGCGCCAGCAAAAACGCGCTAAAGGGTTGTTCAAGGTGAACAATCAATCGCAGAGCTCGATCGCTCAGTTCCGAGACAACCGACTGCTGTGATTCAGGGAACCCCCCAGGCGAATTCTGTAATGGAGATGCGGGTGCAGACCACCAAACTTCTTCGCTCTGCGTACCGTCAGCAACGTCAGGCAGCTCTACCAAGCCAGACGACCCCGCGATGTCATGAAACTCGAGGAGATAACGATTCCACGGACGAACAAGCAGAAATGACTGCATGGTGGGTCGTAGTGATGAGAACTGATTCAGCTTGCCCTTCGTGGTGATCAGCAGGTCATGAAGCCCATCGGCCTTGACTTCATATATCTCCTGGTCTTCAGCGGGACTCCGTTTGACTACTGTGACACGAAATGCGATGCAAGGCAGATGCAGTCTGCAGTTTGCGAAACGAGGCGCGTTCAGGTCGTCGAGCAGGGTGTAAATTTTTAATGCTGAATCCACAGCCATAACATGTCGGAGCGAGGAGATCGACATTTGAATGTCATCTTCGGACAGAGGTGGCAGGGTATATGGTGGAGCTTTATATGAAATAATATCGGCCGGCAGACAGCTATTGAATTCAGATGATTGGCCCACCCAGTTCAGGGCACTGATGTCACCCGACTGAGCTATGATCTCCTGCAAGAGCCTCCCAAGCGCCTTTTGCTTCTTCTCCCCATAGATGACAGGCATGTTGACACCGAAGATACCAAACAATGAGCATGCAATATCTTCCTGCCACGTGGTGACACGCGCTGACACCCATTGGAGTTTCTCCCGGGCATCTCTCATCCCAGGACAGAATGCGACGAGGGCTTGTGCATCTATTCCCGTCGCTTCTCCCATCTCCTGCATAATTGTAGGAGAATCTTTGTGATTGGGAGAGCGATCGTCAAGATATAGGGACCAATCCTTCTGATAGAATAGGACGTGTTTTGGGGCTAGGAATTCTTGAACTGTCCATCCCCGCGTGCTCCAAACGCTATTTGCGAGTGCGCCAGACTTCGACGAAGGTGGAACATCCGACAGGTAGATGATGGTAAGTGCTGAGTGGCGGTACCAGGTAAACATGGAATTGACTGATTGTTGAAGTTCGACGTTGTTGGTCTGGTCGATGCAACACGTATCAATCCATCCCCAGCGATACCCTTTGTCACGAGTAGTTTCACAAAATGACTGCAACTTGGCGATGCCGCCAAATGGATCCAAGTCGTATAACACCTTGCCCTGAATGTTATGCAGTGACGGCTCTGTTCCTTCCCACCTATGCGATAGCATGACATAACGGAAGTACATCGCCACCGTGTCTTGGATGCGCTCCATTCGAAAGTTTGCATGCTTCATTGTGGATGACAAAAGTTCTTTGCACTCTGTGCTCATTCTGAAGGCCTTGATCTGTGCCTCACGATTGCACAAGCGCCCGGTGGAGGTGTCGAGCAGACGATGCGGGGCGTCGTCGAGTTGAGCCTTGATCGTCTCTTGAATAGCACCTTCTGCTTCGGATGGACTAGCATACTGTTGGCGCAAGCCTGGACAAGGAGTCAACAATGTTTGAAGGGTGTGCTATTCGGGGCGTACTTGTTGTTTCTGTGTCGAGAGCATTGTCCAACTTCGAGAGCATGATTTTGAACACATCGATGGCTTCATCATATCGGTGTGCGTCATGAAGTATTGCATGCTTCAACTGATATCCAAAGTAAGATGAGGGGTCGAGTTCAATTACCTGCGTATCACCAAAATGAGCGTCAAATACGAAACCGTAACTGTCATCACACTTTTTCCGCGTCGAGGAGTGCCATGTCCCATAGCAGTTTTCCAGACCTCGCCTTGCTGCGGTTCGCAAAGATGGCATCGGTTGCAAAATCAAGATCGATTACCGCAGAGTAAAGCTCAATAGCCCTATCGTAATGACCCGCAGCGAGAGCATCATCTCCGCCCGCAGCGAGGTCAGTCACTCCAGCAGCAGCACCATAGAGCACGCTGCAATCTTGCTTGAAAACTGAGTAAGACGGGATTGAGAATTATACCCAATCGACATCACAAAGACTTGCCAGTGGACCAATCAAGACAGCATGCTTTTGTAGCCTCATCGGCCCTATCCGTCATGTATCGGTATGCTTTGATGGCTTCTGGAAGTCTACCTGCCCGAACGAACGCATGGCACCAACTCTGGTGTACAGCTCGCCACAAGGACTTGAGGTCCCACCCGAATAACTAGAAAAGCAAAGTGGGGCATGAAAGAATGTTCGAATGCATTGCAATCAACCTACCACCACGAAGATATCATATTTAAAATGGATGTCCGACATAGACGAGACACCGATAGTGTTAACAGCAGCAGTGAAGTGACCAATCGCTTCGTTGTGACGCGCGTCGTCTAATGCATTCATTCCTACTTGGACGTGTAAATAAGCCTGAAGGGCTCACAAAATCAGTACCGACACATGAACCTGGAGTTGATTGGGTCAGGAGCACTCACTTCCACAATACCACAGGCAAAAGAATTGGCATTGGGACGAGTGATAGCTAGCTCTTGGACGCGCAAAATTGCCTCATCATGTTGACCTGCATTGAAAAGGGCGATGGCCTGACAGCTGTCGTGTAAGTAGTAAGTAACTTAAGACACAATTAGCGTACCTTAATCAAGAGCAGAAGACGAGTTTTATCTAAGTCTGCATCGACGTACATGAATGCAAGGTCAAATGCTTTCATCGCATCTTGAAACTGTCGTTTTCCACAGTGGGCGACGCCCTTAGAGATATAACCCATCAAAGATGCCTGAATACTGATGCTCTATATCACCATATAACTTAGCCTGTTACAAAGAGGTCACGATGAGAACGCTGTCTTACTTTTAGTGCATCATCAAGTGCACGGTCCCAGTCGGCTTTTCTCGCCATAACAAACGAGCGATTCGCGTAAGAGTTGTAGTCGGTACTATCAGCATTGATATCCTGGGTGAGCAGCCTGTCAGCAGTAGGCAAGTCCCCGGTTATGCACGCATCGCGGGCTGTCGTGTCCATGACTAAGATCTGCATCATGCATGGTCAGATCGCGTGGTAAGAATGAAGGCTAATTTGTAGTTAAACAGTCCTGTTGGAGTATTGAACATTCATGCTTGCTGGCTCCAAAGGCGGAGGGCCATTCTAAAGATTGAAGACGTTTCAAGCGACATTGAATTTTCTTGGTACCTGGCTTGTCAAGGAATGAGGATATTTCAGAGTAGATCCCCGCAGCCGGGCCCGTCACTGGCAGTACTGTATACATATGATGCCACGTCCAGACACGAATATTTGAATAAGTACTTGCTTGATTATGTTAACACGATTTTTGGTGGTGTGAGCCATTACTGTAACTTCGAGAAATGAAAGCTAAGGCCTCAGGAACAAACGAGACCAAATAAATCGGAGACGCCGACCTTCTGCAAATACCATCAACCCAGATACATAACACTTCTGACCACATTTTATAATGCCTGTCCCATGGGAAGCTCTCATTCCGTTTGGTATGCTCCTCAAAATTCAAGAGGATAATTTACTGACTTGAGGTTCTCATATTCTTAACGACACTACAGGCCTGCTCACTTCAATGTTTGCAGCGGCCGGGACGCTCTTGAATGTTTCCAAGAGGGCTCAGAATCAAGGCAAGGTATGTCTAGAATTTGCTTTGTAAAGTTACAAATGTCACCAGTATCTGAATGATTCGTTGTGTTCCTTAATTCGCATGATCTACTTCGCACATTGGCAACTCCCTAGCCTGTTCGATACCACGTCGATTCTTGGGATGAGATGATGATGGACCGTGATAGGCGGCTAACAGGACACATACGTGGACAATCTGTATGTGCTATCTTTACACTTGTCCACACTTGAATAAATGTCATGCACTTTTCTAGTCAAACCCCGTACCTCCAGAAGGTTTCGAGACGAGTAGCGCTTGGTACACGGAAACTACATCATAATGATACCACATACCACGCCGCCTTGAATAAAATTGTTTTTTAGATGGATACTATACGCCAATTTTCGGTGGGCAGATATCCGTTATGGAGGATCTCCTGCAAAAGGAACAAATATTCTTGCGCTACAAACAAAGTCTGTGAGAACACCTGAAGCACATCTACTAGAATCGAAGATCTCTATGCTCGCGAGTTCGCATCATATCCGTATCCACGAGCACTGTCGTTTTCATACATCCAACTGAAAACAAGGTATTAATCATAGGAACTCATCTCCTCCTTTAGCCACGCCCATACGATTCCTTCCTTTCCACTCAAATCCACACCCAGCTCTTCATCTTTAACAAACCCATAACGCTTGCCCTCGAGAACCTTTCCAAGTTCAGAGTCCAACCCTTGCAGCGTGCAGGAGAGAATCACCCCGTGTCGAGCGTGGATGTGTGCTGTCTGTTGGTACAGAGTTCAGGAAATGCATAAGCAGAAGGGAACGGACCTACGACATCGCCCCACACAAACGGCTTCTTGATCGTGTACTCGAATTCGGGAGTTTGGCCAAAAGCCCAGTCCCAGCTCTACAAAAAGGGTCATATAACCGCCTGCAGATAATGAAGGGGAGCGTACAGGTAGCTCTGCCATCCCGCGTTGAATGTACTCTATTTTCGCGAGGTCGTCAGTATCGTTAACGATGCACGGCTAGTATTTTCTGTTTAGCCAGCGCAAAATATGTTTGAATACGAAAGTGTTACCTCGTCATGAATGCCATACTCGGCTTTGAACGAGTCCACGACAGCATTCACAAACGTGTCGTGGCTAACTTTTTCACTGAATCGAGCAAGGTTGCACACCGGCGAACGCACAGACGCGACACCCTTCGTGATCATTGCATCCTATCGTACGCCAACATATAAATCAGTAAAACAATTCCTTGAACCGAAAGACTACAGAAAGAATGAAAGTCCAATATCGTTCAGACATAAAAACGTACCTTGTTCACCCTCAACAAATCTCCCAGCGTCTCAAGTCTCGTGGTAATCAGCATCGTCCCATGGTGGTACGCACGCCCGCTTACGATTTTGTACGCTGAGCCCGACGCCTTCTCACCTCCCACACAAATATCGTTCCGCTCATTCACATCTGCATCGATGCCGAGCGCGCGCACGGCCCGGAGAATGACCTGTGCAGTAGCGCCGCGGTCAAAAGTCGTGCGTGGGACGTGGATGGAGAAGTTTGTGTTGCCAAGGTCCTACGATGTGATAGAGTAAGTTGGTGTGCGTGGGTTTCATGATGGCCATCATAGACTGTAGGGTAATGGAGACGTACATGGTACACTGTCCCACCACCGCTGCGCCTACGCACCCACGGAATGCCTTGTGCACGGGCTGCACGGAGATTGACCTCTTTCCATGGGTTTTGGTTGCGTCCTATGACAACACATGAGGCATCTCTATACAGCAGGAGTAGCGGCTCCTTCTGAGGTGCGTGTCTAAATAGCCTGGATATGCATCCATGTAAGGGTCAAGCCAGCATCATCATATTTCCGGTTCAAGCGCAAGTGAATAGTCTGAGTCAGATTAGCATGTACCGAACAGTAAACGGCCCACCAGTCTTCGAACGAGAGATTGAAATATGGATTGGTTGACGTGCTGAGGTATATAGATTGTGTGGGTGTTATGACCGAGCTTGCGCCTGATGCGGTTGTGTAAAGTCTGCGCGCCGCTGAGGGGACATAGCGGAACGAAAAGAAGATCATTGATATTCGTATTCGGACGCGTGCAAGGGGCGCTCATTTTACATCTCTCAATAATCAAACTCGCATGGGTCACAAGCTCCTGCGCCTTCATGATTTACGATTCTAAAGACCGTTTCTCGAAAGCTTGCACAAAAAATTCTTAGGAAAGGAAGCACTGTTGATCCATAACAGCACGAATAATCGACCCAGGGCTACCGTAGGTAGTCTAGTAAATGCCGGAAGAGCCCTCACCGCTGCACTGTGGTATATATCGGTTTCTCTACTTCGTGTATCTGCTTCTTCCCAGCTGGGATGCCAGGTATTGTCTTTGTCAGGCCCTGACGAGTAACTGGACGTCAGTACAAAGATAGCAATTGTCACATTGAACAAGACACGCACGAGCTTTTCAAACATGCACTTGTTCAAGGTACGCTCGGGTTTTCTACATGCATAGTATTCCTAAGAAACGAAGGGAAAATGTCAGGATTGCCATTGATATAGTTATGAGATTCTGCGTACCTGATTGTTCAGCTCGAGGCAGTTCCAGTGCGCGTCAAACTGCTCAAGGCAGTTTTCCCGCATCTTGTTGATCCTGACGGTTTCCTTAGAAGTGGATAAACAAACAGTAAATGATACGCACAAGTCGGTTGCACACCGTGTAACACGCCTGCCCTCCTTCAGACATTGTCCTGGGTCTCCCCGGCCCTCATGTTTGCAAAGCATGAAATCCTCTACCAATATATATCTCATCAACATTCCTTTCTATGCGATTTGATTCCAACGCACCATTGTACTCCTTGCAGTAAGCACCAATAAAAAATGCAGCGGACTTTAGCGGGGCACTGGTTGCACCGAGCTCTTGAACACGCGGAACAGAGTCCGGGAGTGGTGTTGGGTCCTTGTATGGCTGGCTGCCTGTGGCGCTGTCGCGAAAGCCGCTCATTGTCGTCGAGAACGGTGAACTTCGGAATGTGGACTTGATGTGGACGATTGCCTTTCTTGATCACGCGGAGTTTTCAGTTTCCCGTTTTAGGTCTGCAGAAAGCTTGCTCTCTCTCTGCAGTGTCTGCACACAGCAAGCCAAGGAAGATGGTGGGTCCTCATTACAACTGCTAACATAGCATAACCTACTGATGTGTACGATGTTGCCAGCCTCCAAGAACATCCCCAAAAGTCTACCAAATTCTGGCCAAAACACACCAAGTCACGATATTCCTAACGGTCCCCCAATCCGCAACGATTGCGTTTCTTAAGGATGAGGCGTTGTCTGCACTCACATCTCGCGTCGCAACTGAGGATGACAGCTTCCCTCACATTCAAAGCACAGATGACTTCGAGCTGGCACGTGGAGTAAAAGAGAAGGACAAGAACAAGTCAGGGGTGACTTATGAGGCCCTTGAGGCAAACAAGGCTGTCAGAGGGCTTCTAACAAACTGGGAGGTACTATATTTTCAATTTAGAGACGAAGAAGGTGAGTGTAGTGTGCTAACTCTGAGATTCTGAGATTCGTTGTCCCGCTAATGCTCAACTTTGATGTCTCCATCAGGCAATTTGATACCAGTCGAAGTCTCGCAGCCCTCTCTCCTAGATGACGAGGAGGAAGAGCCTCCCATGAATAAAGGCAAACGCAAGGCGCTATCCGAGTAGTCATCTTACGCCACACGACGTTCTGGATATTGTATTCCAAGGATACACTACGAAGAGCATGCATGGAAAGGAAGAGTCAGATCAGATTACTGCAGCCAGTATTATGACTGCCATGGGCGCGAGGTGTATGGGAGCAATGCAGCAGCTACCCGCCGGCCCTCTTCCGCGAGCAAATTATATGTCGAGCACGCGTTTCTCTTGAAGTATGAGGAACCATCGAAATTAGCATCACATTTGCAATGTATAGGTAGTAGACACCTCACCGTATCCATAATGTCAAGTTGTATTCCCATTTCTTTCAGGTAACCTCTTATACTCGGAGGTGGAAGCTCCATCCGTCTCCCAGTGCCAAATACTAATATTTCTACTTCATGTTCAGTCTTGCTTGGTCAGTAAATTGCGAGTCTCCCAACGCACCTGGTTTTGGGACAGCAGTCTCAAATACACTCAAATGCTCGCGACCCCAGCCATCCCATAGATGCGAGGGAACGTTCCACAAAAAAACCTTGCCATCCAAGAAAATGCACGCAGATGGAAGGACAAGCCCGTCTGCTAGCTGGATGCCTGCTGATGTTATGGAACTAACTTGCACGGGGGGCGGAACATCCCCTGCAAGCATATTTGTGAATGCCGTTGGACGGTCAACATGCCGAATTGCAGTCATATGTAAGGCGCGTCGTGACAGTGAGGAGCGAAAGTGGTGTATGATGAAAGCGGACATCGTGGAAGGAATATCACACGAAAGAACCTAAATAGGCGACAGTCAACAATTTACAATCATGCCTTCGAGGCAAGCTCAAAGAATGAATATCAGTGCTTTTCCGAGTTTATAGCTGATCTAGAGCGATTTTGAATGTATCTGTATTCTAACAACCCATCGAAATACCAGATGCTGTACCAGTAGCAAATGCGCACAAAAACTGACACGCGGGAGAGATCAGTATCGCCAACAACAGCGCATGATGGTAGAGAGTAGGGAATAGTATACTAATGAAAAGGTCTATGCATGCAGTCATTAACGAGCCAATAAATCCATCCTTAATCTGCTGATCCACCAGCCCCTGTCTCGCCGCGCCACGCACCGAAATCTCCAAAAACTTATGACCCCTCAACCCTTGTCACAACGTCCTCCACCCTGCTCTCATCCCCGCCTTCTTCAATGTCACCACCTTCTGTTCCTTCTTCAGCACATCGCTTGCAAGTGCATGCAAACCGCCATCCCCTCGCGAGCTCCATGCGACGACGACGGCGCGCTACCTCGAGTGTCTCCCCAGGGTGCTGCGATACGTCCACATACGCGACGGAGATCTCGTCGCCTTTTTTAAGTGCACGAGTGGCCATAAGTTGCAGCTGTGCAGTGCCAGTTGGGAAGACGGGCTTAGCGGAGGGTGCGCAGTTATGCGAGATCTGGGGTCGATATAATGAGACAGTACATTGAAGAAGAACTAGGAACTTACATAGGCTGACACTGCGTAAAATCCTGTACCAATCTGCTTGGAGGTACCGCAGGGCGTCCGTGTTATCTCGGCATTCTCAGGGCGAGCATCTATCTCAGGCTATATCATGATGTAAGAACATAACATTCTCAAAACGCAAGACAAATTCACCTTATCCTCCCTTCCTTCACCGAAGTATACTCCATACGAGTTGTACGACATTTTCCCGATAAAGGTTGCATGTCGATCCTCAGTAAGGAATTGTTCAAGTCCGGGGAGCGCAGTCTGCAGCACATCCTTCAAGACGCGAGTTTCATGGTCTGCGGGATTCACCTCGAGGTACCTTAGGCGCTCAAGGTGATCGTACAACGAATATTCCCCACCGTCTGTCAGTATCGGCTCGGAAGCGACGCCAGGCAGTATTCCGCGGGGTAACATCTTAGCGGTCTCCGCGCTGACCTGTCGCGCAACGAATCGTGCCACAAGTTCTGGTGCGGCCCTTTTGGTTTGTATGAGATACTCGACGAACGCTTTTTGGGCATTTTCCCGCTCCTCACGCTGCGCGCCTCTCATTTCGGGTGCTATGGCGGCAGGTAAGGGCGACTCGAGCGTGAAGAGCAGAGTCTGCGAGTGCGCTTTGTGCTGGGTCTGGCATTCAGATGAACAGTAAACGCTGTGGAGGCGATCAGATTCTGGACGGATAGGATTGTTTTGGATCTGGCGCAGGCAGTAGCTACAATGTGTGCCTTTCCCTTGAAGGTCGGCATCGAGAACGACCACAATTGGATCCTCCTGTGGATGATGTTAGGACGGATTTAAAAGACATGAGACAAACGTTTTACCCGGTAGATGACTTCACCAGCCTCGAAGTCTTTTGTCACGACAAGGACCTTCTTCGACATGATTCCGCCCTTGCCGTCAGGGACATTGACAGTTTCAACTGCGACATTCATTGCCTTCGGCGGGAAGAACGTATAATATCCTATCCCATCTTTAGTCCTCCATGAGAAACACGCACTCAAGCAGCGTACCTTCGACTCGGTCTTTGACCTAACGGTGACGACCAAAACATGAAACAAAACTCATAATCAGATACCATTGAAACAACCAAGAAAGAGATAGATATGCAATTTGACAGATTAGGGGTTAGGGTGCAGGCTACAGAGCTAGCATATCCGTGATTTGCAGTCATAGTCACAGGGCAGGCGTCTGACTGCCCTAGTCTGTGACTTTGACCCACTCTTGTGAGGATGCTTCCGAGGGTGAACCCCGTGAGGGACTCAATTCGTCCTCCCCATCAGACAGTGGTTCGATTTTACCCCCTGCCAGTGAAGGATTATTACTCACGTCCAAATTGGTAAGTTCCATCACAAGCTGTGATGGCCAAGTCAGCATAGTCAATAGTCATCATAAAGCAGACGTACCTGGAAAACAGGTGGAGGAACAGTCTTCTCGTAAATTACAACCAGCTCCACGGGTGATGGATACACGCGCAAAGCACGGTAGAAACACATTGCGGCAGGAAGGTGGTACATAGGACCTTGAAAACTAATCAAGCAGAAATCCTCTCAGAAAAATGAAACTGCTAATTACCTTTCGCACAAAGTTGTTCGCCTATCCCAACTTGCTGCATGAAATACTGTTCCTTTTCCTCTGGCCCACCTGGCACTTCTTCGTTGCGCACGCTTTCCAACGCGCTCCGCAAGTCATTTGCGTCCACTCCTCCGGTTGCAGTCTGAGAGGATTCAGACGGTGTCTGACTCTGCTTGACACGCTTTTTTTCTTTCCCTGAAACCCTAAGTCAACTGCGTAACGGAGTCTGCTGGTGAAAACTTACGGAGTTGTTTGCGGAAGTTGGCATCGGTTCTCCGCTTGTAGTCGAAGTACACAGCGTATGCAAGGATGCCGCCAACTGCGACGCTTGCAACGGTCATCATTGTCGCAGACCTGTTCATTTTGTGCAAGAAGAAGAGAACAGAAAAGGTTCAAACGTTTTACTGGACCACTTAGCTCGGAAAATGAATTATGTCAGCGACCCCTACGCGTTCAATTCAAGTGCACATCAATCGACATTCGTGAGTACGTCTACAGAGTATTACAATTACAACGATCATAAATAGCTGAAATATACAAATTTACGAGGCGACATGTGCGAATGCTTCATGGCCAACAGGTGAATATCAACCCTTGTTCCAGTCGGCAGGCAAGTCACATCTACAAACATGCCTTCGAGACATCTTAGTCCCTGGAGCCCTGCAAGTTGCCCCATGCATAGCATCATGTGCTAATTCAGGCGGGCACAAATAGTCCACGTGCACTCGCCCGAGAGCGAAATTATTGTTTGCTTGCTCGTGCACAACTTTCTTGAATTCTGGTAGTCGAGGATGAGAGCATTCAATAGCAAGCTTTCCGGAGTCTACAGATTGGAGTGGTCTGTTGCCTAAGCAAGCTTTGAACATGGCTAGTTGGACGTGAGCAACAAAATGCAGAATTTGGTCGAGGACTTACGATCGTATTCCCGATTCTCTAGCTTCACCCAGTCAACGCATGAGAAAAACGGGTGACTGCGAATTGACTCCGACTCAGGTCTCATGGCATGGTGTTTGGGAAAGAAAATCTGAAGTAAGATTAAGCCAACGCCGACAACACACAAAAACTTGGAGACATACAGAATAAAGAAGATCCTTGGCGTCCTTATCTTGGATGAGATCTAATTCATCGTTCGGTCTTATGAAGGCAAGTCGCCGTTCCCTATTGTAACCCACGGGCAATTTGCGGTCGTTGCAAAATTTATGTGTTCCATCATTGAAATGATATATAGAGTACCAGTGCTTAGGAGTCGAGTAAGCTTTAATGCCAGGATAGCCTGGAACCACATAAAATTGCTCACCCCGCCATTTATTAGTAAAAGTTCCAGTAAAATGGTACCATAGGTCCACATGTCCGTTTTGAAGTTATATCCTTGGTTTTCCTCGACTCGCTCTGGAGGAAGGTAACCATCGGTACCCGATGTACCGTATATGCGCTTGTTGTGAAATTGCTGATAGGTCAATTTGCGGTCCAGGACTTCAGCATTGCCAAAGTCGGCAAGGGATACATGACCGGACGGAGTTATGAGCACGTTTTCCATCTTCAAGTCCAAATGTATGACGCGCAGCTTGTGAAGATGCTGGATGGCAAGAAGCTTTGGGAGTAGCGAAGCACATTAGATTAAACTTGCATGCAGGACATAGGATACACTTACAAGCTCAGCAGCAACAAGGCGTAACTGCCAATGCATGAATCCAAATTTTGCCCTAGCGCGAAGAGTCTGAGGATAAAACCTCTAGGGCACGTTCAGCACAAAGTCAGATGATGATCAGGAAGGCGTACCATTACGAAGTAAAAGTTATCCTCGTCCTCGAAGGCATGCAACAAAGGAGTCAAAAATGGGGATTGCTCTTCGGTGACGCGCTTGAACGCCTCATATTCAGCACTGATAGCTGCTGCTGCTGCTTGAGAGCCTTCGAGCAGTTGTTGCTCAGTCGGCCGTTTATCATTGGTGCAAGAAACAAATTGCGCAAGTAACCCAGCCTTGTCGATGACCTTGATAGCCACCTCCTCTGCTTGGTCCTTGATAGCGTACCAGACATAACCGAATCCACCACTGCCGACCTGTGCCGTGGCGACGTACACATGACCACCTGCTTGAATGGAATAGGAAAGATTCCCATTGTTCGAAATTTTTTCAACCACAGTACTGGCCTGTATTACCTCAGGTGTCTGTGGGAAATTATACGGTTGACAATTCGAGTTACTGTATTCAAGAGTCGGGAACATATCGGCAAGTTTTAGCTCGGTATTGCCCCGCGATGCGTCGTTGTAGAGGTTGTGTTTGGGAACATCCTGGGTTAATTCGAAGCGGGACTCCTTCTGTGTAGGGTGTATAGGAAGTGCAGGACATAAGTGCCCAGCTTGGACTCCTGGCTTCCTATCTGTGGGGGGCTTTAGACCAGGTGGGCATCGAGGTGGCTCATGGGGGGCAGATGATGGTGGCTGGTCACACTGAATTCGTGGAACTATAGAATCGTATCGCTGTTGGTCCAAGCATGATTTGTGGGAGGAAGCGTGAGCGGCAGGCGATAGTGACTGGCCAAGGGGAAAGTGTGGAAACACGAAATCGTATTGTTGTAGGCCCAGGCGTGCTTCCTGAGAGGAAATTTCGTCAGGGATAGTAGGGACCATCGATGGTGCGATAACTTCATCGGTAGGTCCGATGGAAGGTCCCGCTATGTGAATGAGTGATCTTGCGCCAGCATATTTTGGGGGCGTCTCAATGTCCTTGCTTTCGATAGTCCGTATGGTCCGAGCCAGAACTGGTGTAGCGACGGCAAATCCGGAAAGTGGAGAACAAGTGGGTGACGCAAGCGTTATGACCTCAACTGGTGCGATTGATTGAATATCGCTGTCTCGAGCGGCGTTCGTCAGAGAGGCAGGTCGAGTTAAGGCGGCCATGTTCGAGGGTTGTTGTTCATCTAAAAAGTCGACAGTAAGCATCTACATCACGCTTGTGAAAGACGCCTCTCCAAGGCCGTCGATCATTTGCATACCTTGAGGGCACGTCGTACCGAGTCCGAAGAGACCTTGTCCTTGGGTGGGAAAGAGAAGGGAATCAGAAATCATATCGTCCATCTCTGTCGACTGCGTGGCAATTGTTTCGATGTTAAATCCAACCGGAGGGTTTGATGGAGAAGTCTCGAGAAGCGGCGCAGATTCCTGGGCAGTGTGCGCATGTCCTTCATAACTTGTGCCAAGATTAGGTAGTACTTGACTTTGTTGGATTGATATAAGGGCGTCATCGGTAGTGGGGGACAAGGAAACGTGAAATCGGAGGTTTATATTGACAGGAAAGATTGCTTGGGTAGCCGGAGACCTCTCAAGTAGAGATGAGACATTTGATGCAGGAGCAGGCGTTGAAGCAGTAGCGACGTCCAATGCAGAGACAGGTTCAGACTTCTGGAATCGTTTGAAGATACGAGCAAGCAGGTGTTTGAGGGCCATTGATGAGTGGGGGTGGTGTTATGAAGCTATGGTCCTGGAGAAACCGGACGTTAAATAGAGCTCGGACATATTCTACGCCACTAGGAATACTGGATCACTAATGTGGATGTGGCCAAAACTTGGGAAGGGACCACAACGCTTTGGCTCATCACAAAATAAGTCGCGGTGGACCCATCAGGTAGCGATCTCCTGATTGGGGCACTGTTCAAGTTAGCACCATACGTATCTTACGTAATGTGAGATCAGTGCGCAAGGTTCAGCTTTGCCTTGAGCATAAAGGCTTGAAGTTTGAAGCTGTATGCAGTGTGGAACCAAAGCGGCACGTAGTAGCATCGACCTGGTGAGAAGAAATTCTGGATAGTGTCGTTGATGCCCCTGGTGCACCTAATCGAGAGAGTTTTGTCATAGCATCAGATCAATGCCACCCGAGGGATATTGTCAGAACAGCGCTTGAGCCTTTCTTTGATACCTTGAAGTCATGGACATAGTCGAAGGTTGTCAGTAAGCTAATTGCTTCATCAATGTTGGGTGTAAGTGGAGCCGGAAAGGTCCGTGGCGCCTTTGGATGTTGTTCTCACGGGCGTGCAAGGACTGTAGTTGGTGGAAGGGAGCTCACACCAAAACATTCCTCAAGGCAAAGCATTGGTATTTCTGTAGGGAAATACCTACAGCGCCGAGAGGACGACGTACAAAACCAATTTGTTGGTCATGAGCGGCCTGGACGTTGCCAGTCAATCCAAGTCTACGACGTCTGCTGACGACGAAGGGCAACATCATAATTTATCATCACAAGCTACGCATCTTTTCCACCAAGAGGATTCACATCAGCCTCCTCTTTCCCTGGATTTTTCTGGGCTTTCTGGAACGGAGGATGGACTAGGAAATCATGTCAATCATATTGACCTCCATGACCCACGGAGTTCGCTTATAGGTGACCTTCACCGGGTGGGAGACCATCCTAAACTTGACGAAATGACAATGCTCGAGGCTGTGAATCCTTCTGATACACACGAGGACACACAAGAAAGTCGAGACACGGAGCCTGATATCAAGCGTGTCAAGGTGAGCCATGCATATATCATCCATCACCCTTCTGCATGTCGGCATGTTGCATCTCGTTCTTGTATGGTTTGTCAACTATGCCAGGAATGGGTCGTTTCAACAACGTGGTGTACCTTGGCGCAGACCAACTTGCTACGCACCAGCAAGAGCGCCAACATTCTTGCTCGTTCATCCGTGCCTATCTTGTTTTCATGAGTTCATTAAGTGCCAACTCTGACCGACGTTTGCCACGTTCTACAAAGGTTTACAAGCTTATTGGCTCACAATGGGCTGACCAAGGGACCGCTTTTTGTTATGGACAATTCGAAAACGAGACCAACCAGGCTTTCCTTATCGCTCGCTCAGAAGTCCATTTCGACAAACTCATCCTGACTACTCGCATCCGCACCACTGACGTCTATCAACGCCAACAAGGTCCGTTTGGTATATATATTTACAAGGGGATCTGCTGATACCTACTCACGCGACCACCAGATACATTGATTGTCTGGACGGAACCGGACGGTGCAGATTACGCCTTGAGCTTCCAGGACGCAGAAGGGTGTGCAGAGGTGTGGAATTTCATCATTGAGGTCCAGCGTCACATGAATGTTGTTGGTATGTACAACCCTTGACCCTATGCCGCGCTGCTTCCTTTCTGGTTTACTTCCTGTTGTACTATCTGACTTACACGCCTTCAGGAGAAAGTAGTGTTGGGGGTTCATCATCTCCTCGAAGCGACCACTCTACGACAGCAGCGATTATCCGCTCCGGCCACTTGCCTCAACCAGAACTCGGGAATATTCCCGATATTGAACGTGCCATTAAAACACTAGTGCGTGGACAGGCGATTAGGGAGAGAATATGCGAGTATATCCTGCGCGAGGTCCGTTGTCAATTTATCAAATTCTTCACGATTAGCCCGCTAAACTTTGAGCAGGAATATATCACGAAGATGATAGAAGTCTTCAAACTGGCAGAAGACTTGGAGAACGCAGAGAATCTCCATGCACTGTGCAGTCTCATGCAAACCATATGTGCGTTCATCTGCCACCATGACGAGTTTTTATTGATGATATTTTGTAGTAGTAATGATTCATGATCATGGACTATACGAGCATATCCTCGATGACAGCGTATTCTTTGGTGCTGTAGGCATGCTTGAATGTATGTTTCTTGTTGTTCCTGCATAATGTGCACAAAACTCAACCTAACTTCCTCAAAGATGACCCCGAGTTCCCAAATCACAAAGCGAACTACCGAGAGTTTCTCCACGTAACCTCTAAATTTCACCAACCTATTCCCATACAAGACATCATGATCCAGAAGAAAATCCACCACACCTACCGTCTACAGTTTCTTAAAGACGTCGTTCTTGCGCGCGTTCTCGACGACTCCACCTTCAATGTCCTCAACTCCTGCATTATCTTCAACCAAATCGACATAATCAACCATGTCCAGCAGGATACCATGTTTCTTCGCGAAATATTGTCACTATATGTGAACGAGGAGGTTTTGACGGGAGGGAAAGACAAGGATGAGAAGCGCGAGGATATGGATGTTGACGGCAAACCAAACGGCGCCCGTGCAAATGGCTCAACCCCAAGGCCTTTCTCATTCGGCCCACCAGATAATCTCTCGGAGCATGAGTTGACCCTCCGTAGAGAAGTATTGGTGCTTATACAGCAGCTTTGCGTCATGGGTAAAAATGTGCCGCTTGCTGCTCGTATCTCCCTCTTTCGATCCCTTGTCAATCGGGGTATCCTATTCGCTGTCCAGTGGGCGTTCTCACTTTCAGAGAATGACCCAGAAGCGAAAACAACAATCAGCATTGCGGGTGAAGTGATGTCTGCGCTGCTCGATCACGACTTAAATGGTGTTCGAAATCACATCACCAAGCAAGCCTCAGCTATTGAGAGGGAGAGTAAGGAGGGACGGCCGATGGGAGAGCAAGCTGAGACGCTTTTACGAATAATGTGCAAAGTATTGACACATACTCGGGATTTGGCGTTGCAATGTCAGGTCGGAGATGCCCTGAAGACCATGTTGGATGTCTCTCCCAAGGATGGTCCTGAATTGACACCCGTAAGCGTTGTCTGATTTACATATTGTAAACCATCTCACAGCAGCTTCAGGCTGGTTTGAACGTCAAGCTACTTCGTCCGAAAGATGACCCAGGAACTGAGAAATTTCTTGATTACTTCTACAAGAGATGTATAGAACTCCTATTCAAACCATTCCACGACATCCCTGATTTCAAGACCCAGACTGGTTCGTTTCTACCTGACGTGTAGAGTACGCTTTGTGACTGATTCATTGTTCGCAGAGCCAGTGTTGAAGCTTTCGCGCGAGAAGACTAACCTTTACCTATACTTATCCGACTTAGTATGCAACTTTGCTCAACAGCATGGCTTCCGCATTCATTTTTCCATGCTTTCCTCTAACATCTCTGCTCGTATGGCCTCATTCCTCAAAGCCCGGGACAAGCACTTACGTCTCGGTACATCTCGCTCATATCGTGTAGTATGTATTTATACTGACTGGAGAGCGCAGCTGCTTTTCGCTTTTTCCGAATATGCCTCAAGGTCAACAACCCAAATTTCATGATCCACCTCATGAAACTAGACGTATTCAAACCGATCTTGGATCTCACGATACAGGAGTCTCGACGAGATAGTTTACTAAGTGCCTCATGTCAAGAGTTCTTTGAACATATGCGTCGTGTGCGTCATTTCCTTCTTCCTCGTTCGTTTAACTGATTATATTATATAGGAAAATATTAAAGACCCAATTAATCACTGCATGACGAAGCATGAATCATTGGTACGACAACTGGCCGCATCACCGCTCAGTGGTCACAGGTTCATGTCCTTCATTCGACGGTGGGAGATCAACATCGAACCTCCTCCCAAAGAGGAGTCACAACCAGTCAAGTACGTACTTATTGTATGACGTACAAGCCGTTGCTAATTCTCGTCATAGGACCCTTCGAGATCCCCGTCATATGGGCCGAAATATCGACGTGGAGGAAGAAGATTACTTCAACGCTGAGGATGAAGAAAGCGATAACCATGCATCTTCCATCACTCCACAAGTTGGCAGCCGTGATCTATATGACGAAAACCCTCCATTCATCTCTCCTCATTTGCGCGGGCGCTCATCATCACCTGTGCATACTGCATTGAAACGAAAGCGACGCGGTGCTATGGTTGGGAAAGGCTTTCGTCCACAAACACTTGCACTTCCTCGTACTCCGCCCTTGAAATCTCTAGTGGATTATCGTGACGAAGATGAAGAAGAAATTGGCCCACCCTCACCCAAAGTACCCTCGGCACCAATATCCAAAGCCGCCACGACAGCCAGCCAACGCAGCTCACCCCTTTCACCTGCTGCGGACATACCACCCAGTCCCAGAATATCTCATCGACAGATTTCTTCACGCCCTCCCCCCATTCCTCGGCGGTCCTCTTTGGATGAAGAGGACAACCTCTTGGAGTCTCTACTCCGTTCTAAATCCATTGCCCCATCTCCTTCAAATCCTCCTTCAAAGGCATCGTCCAAGTTTTCAATGCTGCCGATACGGCTTGGCGACAAGCGGAGAAGAGAGGATGATGACGAGCAACCAGACCTTTTGGCTAATAAGTCAAAACGACCTGATCTAGGTTCACGAAAGGAGCCTGAGCCCTCGAGCGGTAGAACAAACGTGGTGAAGCCTGGGGAGGATCCACCAAAAAAGTTCAAGCTTGCATTACGAAGTATCGTAACTGCAGCGCCGCAACCCTCGACACCTGTGCCTTCAGAACCTGGTGTGAAAGACGGGGATACTGGTTAGCTAGTTGTCTTTCCTGTGTTTATAGATCGTACATTCGTTAATTTTATTTGAGGAAACGCGAAATAAACACTACGTTGTTTGAGCGCAAACGAGGCTACAATAAAATCTGGAAAACACGGGACATGCT